TTCGGAACAAAAAATACATAAAAACAATAAAAAATACAAAGGCCGGCAACGCACTTGCGAGCCCTCTGGCATTGAGTGTCCATGGGCGTGCCTCCTGTCCTTTTCTTTTTTAATTTAATAGGAGGCAAACGGGCAGGCTCATCTGATGTTAAATGTTACCACCGCCCATGGACACTCACATTGCCAGAAGGCTCGCAAGTGCGTTGCCAGTATTCTGCCTTGATGACTTTTCCCCCCTTTTGTATATAAAAATGTACTAAACAGGAAAAGTTAGACCTTTAGTATTTGGTACGAGAACACATAAATACAATTTCTTTAATAGACATAAACGCGATTTTTTAATTAAATTTCGTCTCTGCCCACATCTCTTAACGACGCCTCGATGTCAAAAATAATTTATAGGTATATCACCTATAAATTATTTTTGACATCAACGTAATAATTGATCTTTTTATCCTTGAATTAATTCCTCGTTACAATACAATGTACTTGTCGTACTTCGTCCCTTCTTGCCATTAGTAATAACTCTTTCCCATACCGAATCCATATTTCTGAATAAAGGCCGTAAATTATAACACCGAGTTCAATAGGTTACGGTGACGAATCGCAAGGGTTTGACTAGATAAATGCGATATAAGCTGATAGCGGAGGGTTGACGCGCAGAGTTAGGCATTACCGTATTACGGGAAGTACGGTAATAGCGCTATTACAGTTAACGATGTGGATTTGTTTACCTTAATTTATTGCTGGATATATGGATTTCAATTTGGCACGGAAGTTAAAGCTTATTTTTAAATCACATTATACATCGTGCACATTCTTTACGCAACGTGTGTTTTGAATTGAATTGATTGGTATTATAAGTTAGTACAATTTTTCGATAACATATTTATAGTATTATTTGTCTTTATCCGTATATATCTATATTTCCGGCAAAAAAGTTGATCCATAAAAGCTTTTAGATTTTTCGTACTAAACTACAACTTTCGCCTACGAACTCTTATTTCAGGGTTATTTCCTTAATTTAAGTATTACACTTGCAAAATCTGGAAAATTATGTACCTATACTTAAATAACTGTACCTACTTAAGGATATGGGTTTTTTGCACACACTACGAAAATATTTTTCTACCACAGTCACTGAACAGTAGGTTATCAATCTTGCAAAGGTGAACGTTATTTGTATGATAATCGAATTATGATTTATAACCAACTACCCAACTGCGCAACTCAAGGTCGAAATGCAGACAATTGTCTTAATTCAATTTATTACAATTTCCCTAGAAGACGTGCGTAATCCCGTGGTAATCGTGCTATAAGATTACGCACGATAAAGCCGAGCACACACGGCCGATATCAAATTGCGGCATAATTCCGTAATCGGCTTCATCTACAAATAGGGTTGCCAATTTCTAAATTAAAAATGAGATATTGATACAAAATTTGTCTGGAGATTTAATTGTACAAAGACGAGTGTAGTGCGTTATTAAGTATTTGAAATATTTTTACCTCTTGCTAAATATGCATAATTTCGTAATTTGGTCTGACAATGCGTAGAGGCGTCGAGAACCCTAAGTTCTAGAGGTCGGAGGTAGGTCTCTAGAGAAGCCCATCGTGATTGGCATTCGCCAACAAGATAAACTGATCAAACCAAAGAGTCGTCGAGAAATTATTCGCGCCAGATCTCACGATACTCAGGCATGGGTTTAAGGTCGGAACATGCTCCGTCGATGACGACCTTGATGCTCCGATCGGCAAAAACTGGAGATCCAATCGTATAATTTATCGGGGAGCCCATAGGCAGGAAGCTTCGAGAGCAGTGCTCTGTGCCACGCCCGATCGAAGGCTTTCGCTATGTCCAAACTTACCGCCAGCGCCTCAATCTTAGACTCAATTCAATGTATTATATATAGAACAACAAGAAAAACCTTTTAGTCTTCTTTCCTACAACTTAACTTAGGTTTAAAAGTTTGCCCTAAACAGTATTAAAATAGTAGGTTTTAATAAAATAGTATTATTGTCATATATTATTACATAAGGTGATTTTTATAATCATTACATTACTGAAATGCACAAATGGAGTTTATAATAACGAAATTAATAGCAAGTGCCAACCCTACTTGATCCAAAACCCGCTTGGCTCACTAAGCGTGAAGCTAGACGGTTCCGCGTGAAGGCAAACGATTTTTCCCACTGTCGTTAGAGAATTTTCGTAACGACTACTAACGACGCATCAGTGCACGTTACTTTAATTAGTAAAAGTTATGTTTTAATTTTACATAATTTCTAAGTAGTTTTTCTATACGTAGATACTATAGAAGTACGAATATGTACGTCACTCTAGAATAAACTATTCTTTCTTGAAGTAAAAAAATATCTTTAACTAGAACAACCTTTAAATTAAGCTATAAATTTCCCAACTTACATGTTGACATTGAATTTGGCCAACGTGTGAATATCTATAACTTCATAGAAATAATTACGAAGCTACAAAGATAAAAAGAAAAAGTAAGCCTATAGAGCGTGGGTATGGGAAGGTTCACACGTGTTGGTAATAGTTGGTAATAGCTTGTCAAATGTAGATCTTAACTTATACAGTGTGATAAACGATCACATGTATACCGTATTATGTACAGTAGATGTTCGATTTTCAAAAATTCAAAATTCGAATGCACGCATTTAATACGATATATTGTGAGTAGCTCGCTTGTGGCAACAGAATAACAGGCTTTCTGAAAAGGTGGGAGCTTGTAGTTTATTGTTTATTAGAATGCCAAATCATAAAATGACTGCTTCACGACTGATTTCAGAGCGACCGCCGATGCGAAAACCGCTGTGTGAGTTCGAAAAGTGAGTTACAGAATCGCAGGGCAGGAACAGAAAAGTGGAGCAAGAAAGTACTTACCTGGTGCTCGAAGTACAATAAACGGGAAAGAGAAAGACAATATTAAAGGTGGATAGACCTGTGCAGATGGAGGAGTCCTTTGCCAAAAAGGGCACACACACACGTAAAAAGAATGAGATAATAGAAATACAAATGTGTTTAAGTGTAAAGGTTTTGAAATAAAAGGCTATTATTATTATTGTGAGTAGCCCAAGTCAAAAAAGGATTCTTATGTTGTTCTGAAATCTATCCAGAGTTTCTGACAACCACACATCCCTTATACATTGTATGGCTTGATAGAAAATCGCGTTTATCTTCTCAACTGCTAAAGAATTCTTATTGTTTGTTGTCAAGTAGCTCTAAAAACGTCATAAAAGGTCATAAATATAATATCTTTATACGGGTTGCAGACCAAGAGCTAAGCTAAGTTAGTTTATCTTAGCTCGCATAGCTAACGCAATTTTCCATACATCTGTGCAGACCGCAAACTATGCGAACTAAGCTATGTGAGCTAACTAAAATATGCGAAGCTAAGTTAGTTGTGTATGCCGATGCGCAACTACACGAGCTAAGTTAAGCCCCTCCCGCTACACCGCACACCCTTTGCACATACTATGCAACACTGACTGAGCTTTGGGTTAGCTGTTGGTGTGCACGCTATTTATTTCTAGCTTAGCTTAGCCTAGCTTGCTTGGCATAGCTTAGTTTAGCCTTGGCATAGCTTAGTTTTCGGTCTGCAACCGGCTTAAAGGTCATCGGTTCACATCGGAGTTCACATAGACATACTGTGTCATTAGTACGCATACAGACGTCATTTGTCTACGACTCGTTACAATAACGACTGATTAGATGTAGCGAAAATCTGTTACCTTTCGGGTTTTTTTTAAGTTAATCATGACAATAAAGCTACAAATTTATTTTATACGATTTACCTTCATTATAACTTAACAGCTGATTGTGTATATTAGGTATTTAAGAACCAGCCAAATGTTTACTTTAAGTTTGAATATAAGTTTCGTTATTCTTAAGTATCTATCGAAATAATTGAACATTTGAATATATATTAATAAATTATATTAAGTGTTTTTTTTATTATTGTTGTTATGTATTACTAGGAATTTGTTTATTATTTATCTGTTTGAATGTCTCAAATGCTTTCTTACCTATCTTCTACAAAATAATTTATATTATAATTGAATAAAGCATGATTCATGTAAAAGCTTCGTGACCAGTTTTTCTCGTTATTGCGGAAAAGAATCTGGAAGGTCATAAAGGACATTGGACTTTCATTTTATGTCAAGGGGACCGTGATCAAGTATCGACGTATTGAAAATAATTAACGAAGAATTCCATACAGACTGCGCGGCGCGTGGAAATATCAATTGTCGCATGAAACTGTATATTGACTATTCATTTTTAGCCGAGTACCGTAGAACTATGTATGTGGGGTACATGCCCGGTGTTTTAATATTATGTACAACATATATATTTCTTTACTAGCTCACCTCCTTTTTATAGAAATGAAAAATTAAGTAATCCTACTAATATTATAAACGCAAAAGTTTGTAAGTATGGATGGACGTTTGTCACTCTTTCACGTAAAACTACTGAATGGATTTTAATGAAACTTTACAAAAATATAGCTTATAGATCAGTATAACACATAGGCTAAAGATATTGTGTGCCAAAACCGCCCGCCCAAGATATACCTATGTCTAATATGTAAGCCATTATAGCCAAAATAGTGAACCATAACTACTATAATACCTTTGATATAATTTATTTCTAATGCATATTTGGTAGTAATAAATTTATTCCTAAATGAAAATAGATTCATATATCGTTTCTGGTATTAAAAGTATAAAATATGTCTTTCACGCTACATCATTTGGACAAATATTATTTTAATCCTGCGGGCAAAGGCAAGTAATAACATACAATCATTCGTAAAGTTATATATCAGACCGAAGCCAAGTAAAGTTTGTTGTGAAGGTAAGATAAAATGCCTTAATTCAGAAAACATCAAGATAATTGCTATAGGGGTCAGCTGACATATTCAGCACCACCAATTTTACCCTCATCTAGGATTATGGGCCTAATATTATATTTATCTTACCTTTCCTAGAAAGAACCGCCTGTAGTACTTGGCAGTGTCGTCAGTGTCTATGTTGGGCCGTCTGGACACCTGCTGAGGTGTTCCCGGTTGGGGACGGGGCTCGTTGTCTTCATCTGAGGGATTGTCGTCAACGCCATCCGCCCAGTAACCACCACCGGGAGGTAAGACTACTGTTGGGGGAGTACCTGTAATATAATAAATTATATATTGCAGGGCCAGTATAGTATCAGAAACAAAAGTTGACGAAGAGGTTGATATTTAAAGAGCAAAAGAGTTCTTTATTTAAATTGTGATCATTTAAATTTGGAATTCGAAATACTTGTTGTAATTATTCTTAATATTATAAATTAAAAGACTGTTGTATAATGAAAGTTGATTATATTATGAAAGATAATTATACTGAGTGACAGTGTAATAAAGTGAATGACATGAAGAAACTCTTGTAATTAAACCATTTATAAATGTATATTTTCAGTAAAAACTCGAGTTTCGCAACCGTAATGACTAAAACTCAACAGCTTTAAAACATTAATCCAATTAATTTGAATTAAAACTGGGGAAAACCTCAAAAGCATTTAATATGTTCGCAAAATGAAATATTTTATGGACACTGGTTACCGGATTGAATAAACCCATAAAGATAGAAACAATAAAAATCTAGTTCACCAAAATGTAATCCAGTAAATAATTAAAATAATTGGATTGGATATATCACTTCAGGCCTCTTTATTATTTATTTACCATTCGTTATAGAAAAACAAATAATAATACATAAAAATTATAAGGGATGCAACGGGCGCCCTTATCGCTAACAAGCGATCTCTTCCAGGCAACCCTAGTAAGGAAAATGTATGATGGGTAAAGTGCAAGAAGTGCATAACCAAATCTTATTACAAAAATCACCAACTTTAATCTAAAATAATACAAAAAAAATAATAATTAAATAAATTAAAATGCCCAATCTCACAGATTCATGAATTGCGATGCAATACAAAAGAATAAGAAATACAAGAATTACAAAAGTCACGATTGATCAGGTTAGGATATGGTTAAGAAATGTTTATAGAGCTTTTTATTAAGTACTTGTCATTTATGTCGTCTAAATCATAGTAGAGTACTTTTTTTAGAACTTACGGATGTTTTCATTTTTAAAAACCAACCAAGAAAATTTTGCGTAGTGCATCTCGCCTTGGACCACATCTCAAAAAAAGGAATATTAGTAGTGAATAGAAATACAGATTTTGATGACTCATTATACTCATGGTGTATTTGTCGTGAGACTGGTGATCGAGTCAACGACGAATCCGATGTTAGTTTTATTCTTATTAAAAAAAACTCCAGTTTCTCAAACCTTAATTTAGCAATAACGCGTAAACGATAAGGAAGTCACGATTATAAGTATTCGTGAGATTTTCGAATATTGTTGAATCATCTAGTCCTCGCAAATTGCCTTTATTTGTAAGTGATCAAAATAGTGCCTTTTGCGCGTAACGTGTATCAGTAATAATAGTAATCAAATTTGTTTGAAACTGTATTTTCTGGTATAAATTTTAATATATTTCCCATCTCGCCGTCCGTCGTCACAACTGAGCGTTTTTTAAGGCAGTTTTTTGCGCGCACCAGCTATGTGGAACCAGCTGCCCACTGAATTATTTCCGAACCAATTCGACTAAGGGTCCAGAAAAGATCATACCAATTCTTAAAATGCCGGCAATGCACTCGCGAGCCCTCTGGCATTGAAAGTGTACATGGTGTTACTTAACATGAGGTGAACCTTCTGCCCATTTGTCCCCTATTATATAAAAATATATGTATAGCTTCATGCATAGGGATGAGCCCGGTGAAACGTATTTAGAAGTAAAAGCAATATCCGAGTTATTGCTTTGACTGAATTTTTTCTATTTCAAATGCAGTTATAAAATTGTCTACTGTGTCTATTATAATACTCGTACAACGCCGTATAACAATGTACATCACCGTATAAGTTCTTGGCCTTGATTTCTTCATCTGTTTCATTGTTCTTTATAGGAAAGTATGTATACAATAGAAATACATTAATGTACGACCACAGTTCGTAAGTAACACTGCATCGGTTAAAAAGGTGTATTTGATCCTTATTGTATTCCTAAGCTTAAAAAGGAACTAATCCCACAAGTAACGATCTAGTCTAGACCATTGTAAAGTTTCCGGGCTTATGTTTCTTCGTCACGGGACGGCATTGTTCATGTTTACTCTGTATGTACTTTTTATATAGAAATTTCGGATGTATCTTGCATTTTTACCCCCGAAGAGAGGGATGTTATATGATTAACGCGTCTGTGGAATAGGAACTTAAAATAATGGCCCGATTGTGATGGAGTTTTTGTAAGAAAGCTGACGTAGAGATAATTCGTATTTACTTTACTGTCGATACGTTTGCAAGTAGATTGAAGGTTTTTTTTTTAAATGGCTCTGGCACGATTTGTGCATTAGCCAGCGTCAAGTATAGGATTTTTTATAATTCGTGCTTGTCTTTAGAAATTCGACCGTGTCCTCCATGTACGGTTTAAGAACTCGCCCGGTACCGCACAACCCTCCCAAAGGCCGAGAACAAATTTAAAATTAAATTAAAACTTGCCCTCGAACCGGGAATCGAACCCGGTACCCCTCACCTAGCTGCCACTTAATAAGACCGCTAGGCTATGAGGCCCCCCTTGAAGGTTTTTGTTATTTAAGATCAATAATTCTAAATTTGAATTTGGAATTCAATTTTAACTTGACAACTTAACTGTGGCGCATGATCTTGACAAAGCACACGGTCCTTAAGTATTGATATATCGAACAGTTTTATAAATAAATTTGTGAATTTATATCGTATGTGAAAGCATCGGTAAGGCTTCAAAACCCCAAAGTTCACGATGAATCATAAACCAACGCGGCACACTTCACCGGCCAAGCGTTGAAAAGAGGGTTACAAGTTGAACATTAAATTATACACCTGGGTCTCCAAATATAATTCTGTAGTACCTACTTAATTCTTTTTAAAAAATATTTTTAACGTAACATTTTTTGGCCTTAAAATCCTTCATGAGTGTGAATGTGTGAATGTAATGAAAATGTGTGAATGTAATGAAAATGTGTGAATGTAATGAAAATGTGTGAATGTAATGAAAATGTGTGAAAGTGAATCGCCTAAAAAGCAGCGCTAAACGATAATTAGAAGATATTCATTCAATTTGTTTTGATATTTACACAGGCAAATGACAAAAAAAAAACGATACGACTACAAAATATAGTAAGAAGTGTAAAATTTATTTGTATGGTTAACGTATTAATTTTGTTTTACTTTGAAGCTTTTAGAAGTCGCAAAAATTTATACTTAAACAATACAACAAAACACATTTGTGTTAGTTTTTTGAAGTCAATAACAAACAATCTTGCCAATGGTATAGATTGAACAAGAAATCAACATAACTGATTTACCGGCGCAATAACAAGAACTGAGGTCTAATAAAGCTGTCCCGACCCAAGTCAGGCCTCACGGGTCTTATCCTATAAATTCTAAGGTAAACAACATTTTGGGTCGAAGAAATCAATATTAGACCCTGTTTTATTTATTATCAATAAAAATATTTTATGCATCAGTATTTTAGTATTTTGTATTTGCAGACTACTTTTTGGAGAGTGCTTTAAAAAGCTAACTCATGCAAACATCCTACAACGCTCCATTCTAATGAATCCATAATAATTATGCCTGATTATAAAATATAAATCCTTTTCTTACAATATAAGCAGTAAAAGGGATACCGGCGTAATATGTAAGTCATTAATAACCTACACGAATAGAGTTTTGATATTTTTGAATCAGTTGCTGATATGCTTTGCGTTTTTTACAAAGTTTATTACGGAGAGTGTTCGGAAGAATTGTTTGGAATGATCCCTCCTGCCTCCTTTCAACACCGTACGAGTCGAACGACCTCTAAATTTCACCAGCATCATCTTGATGGTTGGAGGTCTTCCACAGTCCGTTTCACAAGGCATTTTCTTTTGCGAACTAGCGAACTGTGGAATCGGCTCTCGGGGGGGTCTGCCCTCAGAGATACGACCTCCAAATGTTTAAAAAGCGAGTCTACTCCTCCCTCAAAGGCCGGCAACGCACCCACTAAAAGTGTCTATGGGCTGCGCAGACTGCCCTTTTTGGTCGTCCCGCAAGCTCGTTTGCCCCCCTATTATATAAAAAAAAATCTAATAGAAATTCGTTGATATTGGTAACTAAATACACTTATGAAGGCGTTATAAACACAAACGTTTCAGCTTAATTATAAGAAGAAAATTTTGGAAAATTTGTATTGGATCAACGGTTATTTATCACTACCTTCTACTGCATACACTACAAAATTAAAAACAATATCTCTACAATAAGAAAAATACAACCCCGAACTAAACTAATCAAGACGGTTCAAACTGAAAGTAGTCTTAACAACTTCAAACTTAAATGCAGACTATCTCCAGCCATTACGGCATCTGCAAACAAGCGTTCCCATATCCAACAGATTTAGTCCCGGTATGAGACGGGATCTAGTCTGAAATGTTATCCAGATTAGTAGGAACATGGAACCTATGTTTAGATCTTTGACGTAAGTTTGGTAACGTGTTAATGACGAGATAAAACATAGATTTTATAGGTTCGGTTTTCCTGAATGAATTTTTTTTTATTTAAAATATAAATATATATTGGCACAAACTTTTTGAAGTGAAAATGCTTCCTATCTCATTTTCTCACACGTTAAATCTTATAAATGTATGTGTCTGTCTATTTTTACTGTCGCTTTTTCGTTTCATCGACTTTCAAAGTTTAATTATTTTAGTTTTTATCAAAATTAAAGATTGATATTAAATTTAAAATTAAACTTACATTCGTCTCATATGTTGAAACATAAGTTTTGAAGGTTTCACTTCTACCACGTGTGAATTGCACACATGATATTTTTTATTTTTTATTATCATATTATAAATACACATTAATACGTTCCCATTCATATTAGGGTTAAGAAAAACTTTCTAGTCTAGTAAGACGCACACAAAGGGTTGATTCCCAAGACAACCCCGTCTTGCCACGTAATTAAATTAATGTTTTAATCAACTTGGGACAGTGGTTTTTCAAACATTTAGTTTCCTTAAACACAGAGATTGAAAGATTCTCTCAATGGTGTCAGATAAAGCTTTAGAAATGTATTGCAGTATTAACTTAATTAAGCTTTTCGTAGAACATATTTTATTAAGAGCTTTTAGCTTGGCGTGTCATTAGGATAAACTTTTGCCTATTCGCTGAATGTCAGGTATATTTATTTATGATAAGATCAGTCGTCAGACACTCTTACGCGTTAAAATTATTTTATTTAAGTCTATCAATGGTATACAGATGATAATATGTAAGCTTGAAAAATGTTCAAGCTCATTGGTAATAATATTTAATCATAGTATTGTCTTTTATTGACATAACTTTTACACATTTAAAGAAAACACTTTTTTACCGGATTGAAGATATAAATTTACAATTATTTTACATAATTTTTTTTCCGACGTTTCGCGTGCTTTACAGCGTGCGTTGTCACGGTGACTGAAGACAAAAGGCGTTGAATATCAAAAAGTATCACAGCTGTAGAAAAAGTTGTATTATCTGTATTTATTTCCCCGGAGTTGGTTCTGCCAAAACCCTCCATCTTTTAGTCGATACCGGGTGTTTTCTTTAAATATTTAATCAATTTATCTTATAAAAATAGAGCTATCAACCATTGAATACAAACAACTGCGAGTCGAAAAGCATATTTTAATTGTTAAATTAGATTTCCATGCATGTGTTGTGTTAGAATAAGTTTTTACAAAGGACAGAAATAACTAAACCAAACAAATATACGTGTATATTATGATTAAGAGCTAAGTAAATTATATTCTTTTACTGTGTTAGAATAATACTATAATTAAAAAGATAATGTCTCATAACTAGAAATGGTCTTAAGATATTTCCTCAAAGGGAAAATTTTCTTTAAGACTGTGGACATTATTGTTTTAATTAAAAACTTTAACGGGACACTTACTTTTATGTCTTAAAAGACTTGATCATAACCGTTAAAAATGACAACTAAAGTATTATGGTTATGTGTTTACAACAATAGCCATTTAAGAACATCTGAATTTGTAGTTCCGCAAAATTATGAATTAAAAAAAATAGTGGCGCTACAACCTCTTTAGGTCTGGGCCCCAGATTACTGAATGTGTTTCACGATCATTTATAAATGTAATAGGCAAGTAGGTGATCAGCCTCCAGTGCCTGACGCACGCCGTCGACTTTTTGGGTCTAAGACATGTCGGTTTCTTCATGATGTTTTCCTTCACCGTTCGAGCGAATGTTAAATGCGCATATGGAAATAAAGTCTGGCTGGCTGGGAATCGAAACTACGACCTCAGGTATGAGAGTCGCACGCTGAAGCCACTAGGCCAACACTGCTGCAAAATTGTGATGTCTGCAAAATTTTTTCATAAGCCATGTTTGAAATATTATCTTACGTAGATTCTTTTATTAAGCAGGTTAATTCATCCATCCGGAAGTGCTCTGTGACCAGAATTCCCTAGTCAATATATTTTTGTATAATTGTTGGTTCGTTATATTCTTTAGACTTTGTTTTGTTTAATTATCGTAAACGAAGTAAAATCAGGGCAAACCCGCTCCGGTAACGAGCACGAGAGAGCAAAATTAATTAGCTGTACTCTTTAATTAATGCTCGATGGATTCTTCAGACAAATTAAGTTTAAACAAATAAGATTTTTTAAAGTTTAGTGCTTTGTATTTTTACATTCAGATTTCAAATGACATTCGGCATAACAATAAACATATACTCATTAATAGATTTCATTTATACTTATTGAATTAAAGAGATAAAACTTAAAAAAAAATTTAATTATAAAAAGCAGAATAAAGAAGTTTATATAAATTAACGTTAACTATTGTATATGAGTTATTTAGATACTTATTACATAAGGAAACGAAATACCGAAATAGAAGTAATGTAGCTTTTGTAGCTTTAAGAATTGTCATAGATATAGAAAATAGCGTGCAACTACACCGGGGTCCTATTGTTGGCTTGCTAGAGTCGAGTAAGAAAAACAAAAGAACTCTCCTTCATCTATACCTATACTAATATTATAAATAGGAAAGATTTGTATCTAAGTACGATTGTAACGAATTGGCTATAAAAGTACTGGACCGATTTAAAAAATTCTTTCACCATTTGAATGCTACATTATTACTGATTAATATAATTTATTTTAATTGCAAGAAAAAATATGGATCCCTACTAACACTACAATAATGTTAGCCAAGGTGTAAAAAAATTCCTATAAAATATCTTTCAACGCATGCGCTACGTAAACCATTGATGATAGAACAAAAAATGTTCCCAATATTAAAGAACATATCAATATCTACAAAAAAAATTTAAAAATAAAATTTCCACCCATGCGAAGCCGCTAGTTTCTTATATAACAAAATATTTAAACTGTGAGCCCCTTAAATACGAACAAGTGGTTATATTTAAATCTTACCAGATTTAGCCAGGATTTCCTCCAGAAGTCGTCTGCTGGCGAGGCAGGCGGCTGCCACCCGCCGCTGTGCAGCCACAGCTCCAGGAGAGGAGGGCGGTCCATGCGGTATCCTCTCTTCATACCGGTCCCCGGGGGCTGTTGCCCCACTGACTGATACCGGCCGCCGAGTCTCACGTGACGCCTGCAAAGAAATAATAGGTTATGTAGGGAGAATACGAGGGCGAAGTTAGAAAAAATCTGTGAGTAAGTAAGAGTAATGGGTTTTTATTGAAAATATACAATTGCCACTTCAAAATTCAATTATTAATAACCCTCCTCAATCGCTACATAAGATATTACTATTTCATTCATAGACATTAACTCTTAATAGGAAAATACGTAATCCTTTACACCCGAAAAAAATACACCACAGGGAACCAAACCAAGGAAAGAATCGTCAAAATCTCAGAGGCGGATAAACTTTTTAACGTTGATTACTAATAATAAAAAAAAGCTTAAATGTTTCCAAGTTTAAATATCTAACACCTTGTTCCTAAAAATTCAACCAATCTAATTTTGTTTTAACTTCAGTACTCTTTTTTTCACAGTGCAAACACAAAATTTGACAAAAAGAGACCAACGATGACCTTAAAGAACAGTCAGACTGATTTTTTATTATGAAACAGGAGGCAAAAGAGCCGGCAGGTCACTTTAAATTAATCGATATGTGCGAAATTGGCACTCATGAAATCATACCGGATTTGTTAGATTACAATCAAAATTCGATAAATTTTTGATGAGCACTGTCGGATTAAATTCCCAATAGACGCTAAGCCACAATAATACGTTGGGTGGGCGAGATCAAAGCTATTAATTGACTGGTTTGTTGATACTATAAATGGAACACCATTATATTAGGGAACCGTCGGCATTCAACGCTGGACATAATTTCTTAAAATAGTCAAATTAAGCGTTACATTCTTATATTGTATACAATCCATTAGTGGGGTAAACCTTGGTCTATTGATGTTTCCTTCGAAAAGCCTCCCAGTTTATTCACTTCTAAATAAACAAAATAAAATAATTCGTGAAAAGTAATCGCTCTGAAAATAAAGCTGGTGAACGTTTTTTCGAAAAGACTAGGGAGTCTTCGTCTGTCTGCGTAGAGCTTTTTTACATTTATAAAGGGCACAAACAGTGGGAAAGCTAACGGATTATGAGAATTTTAAACCTCTTTTTCGATGTTTTTGAAGTCGGTTATTAATATGCCTAGCTCAAATATCTATCTATATCTAAACCTTTCTTATTTAAAAGTAGGTTTGTGAAATTGTTAGTTTTTACGGTTCCATAGAATCATTTTATCTTTGATCAAAAATATCCGGAAACGGTAAATCTTCAACGAAAAGTTCCCACCAACTGTCATAACTGTCGACTTTTCATGGTTGATGAAGCAATGAATTAAATTTTCCAACGTAATTTTTCGGAAGCAGGTTAGAATAATATCGCGTCAAATCAAAATATATCAGGTATGAGGTAATCCATTGTTATTGTTTATCGTTAATAAATTAGATTTTTTATGATTAACTGTATTTAGATTAAGTGTATGTACGACTTATCATGCCACTAATTTAGTTAAAAGTGTTTCTATTAACGCAAAGTGCGTCTCAAAAAGGAAATAGTATTTTAAATTACAAATTAATTCTTAACATAATTTTTAATTAGAAAACTACACAAATATATGATTTCATCTAACTTATGACAGTAACACAAATGGATGACTGGAACAAGTGGATAAGCTATTGAAGACATTCCAAAAATTCTTAGGATATCGTATATTTTTTAGAAATTTTCTAGAATATCAAATCTTTCTAAACATTAAGGAAATCTGGATTTTTGACAACCCGGCCTTAAAAAGTCGCCGAACATCGGCAATCATAAATCGTGGCGTGCCCGTAAACACCATCAAAAGTTAATGTTCGACGGAAGCATTAGTCGAACTGCTGACAGCAACTCGAAACTAGTAGTGTGGAAAATTGTTTTCACTTTGATAGCATTAATCTAACGTCACTAACTTTGTGTTTACTTGGCTAGCTCCCACTGAAAATAGATTTAAAAACAGAATGTAATTTTTCATGAGCAATTAGTTCTTTCTTATATTTGAATTTCGAATGTGACTGATTTTACAACATTGAAATATAAAACTAATAATGTTATCATTGCTCTAAGCAAAAATTTTAATAAAAAAGCTATTGTTTTACGATATTTTCTACTCTTTTAAGAAATTAACACAAAATTAAATTAACGTCTGAATATTTGACATCCAATACAGATGTCAATCCTTTTTCAATACTGATATTATTCTACATATTTTAAATCTAAAATAAGCAATTAATTATTTAAATACGTTTTATTAATTTGAGAGGAGAGTTTACCGTATCGACGGAATTAACATCAAATGTTTGTCAGTTACGAAATTCGAATATTTCCGTAATTTATCCAATCTTTTGAAAACCAAACCAAAACAAAAAAAAACGTTTTAAATACCATAAAAATCAGTCCAGCCCTTCTCGAGTTATAACATAAGTGGAATAAACCCGACTTTGTTTTATATATTAAAATTACTGAGGTTAATTAGCTTAGTGTTGCATTAAATCAATAATGTTACAAAAGTATCCAATTCATTAATTTTATCTGCATTATTGAATAGAAAATAAATCGGCATGAGGTTTATTTCAACATAGATAACAGAATACAACAAAGATAAAATAATCGTATTATTACTTAGCTACAGAATTTAAAATTTAACTATAAAAACTTTAAACAACCACAAAACGATAACTGTCAAGGATTCATATAAAATTAAGATTTCTTTGATCCGCGGAAGCTAAAGTTTTGTGTATTTTTTTCATCAAGACCGCGACGGAGACATTTATGAAACTATTTTTAAATTAAACTGAAGAAAATAAAGTAATATTTAAAACTTCTAACGAGCTATAAGTTGTATTTTGTTATTCTTATATTCATATGAGCAAGGTTCAATTCCCGCGAAAGCAGTATCAGCTGTGTAGATTGATTTACTTGTTAAATATACGAATGAAACGGACACAAAAAGGTTTCAGCTTATTACCCCATGGTAATTGCTTTTTATTCTTTATAAAGAATTGCGATTTACAAAAAAAAAAATTACTATCAATCGAGGGCTATGTTTTTAATACAAAGGTATATTGCTATGGTTACCATGTCTGTAGAACAAGAATGGTAACTAACATTATTTTTATCCAGTTTAAAATTAATATATAAATAATGTATTAAATGTACTAAAATAGGATTCATATGGATAATAGTAAAGCACCTCATATATATTATTTGTACGGATTTGCGACTCAAATATCCATTTAAGTATGGCTTCTTTCCTGATTTTGAATACGTATGACTGTTTCAAGTACTTATAACTACTTAGACAAATCTATAGACAACAATGCAAAAGTATATAACTTCTAAAAGAACGGGCATTCTTTTAAATTTTGTTTAAAATACATCTAGGTGGCGGCAGGTGTTACTATACATTTATATTTTTTTTCGTTCATAAATGATTGAACGTGAACGTATGAATATCGATAATGGAAATCCGAACCATAAAGTATATTAATAGCCCAATAGGTGCTAAATGGACTTCTTCGTAACGCGTTTTGAAACAATTGTAAATTTAAGAAAAACACATATTTCATTCAGTATCAGCATTAATTGTATAAAATAGATTATTATATACTCTTAATCTATGAGTCCAATGTGCATATTAAATATAACTATAATCTTAGATAGAACTCATAACGTGGTGGTTTTATATAGGGAAGATGATGTGCGAAGAGCAGCTGGCCTGGAAGAGTGGAAGCCCTTAAAGGAGGATGTCCAAGGACAAGCTGTATAACAGAAATCAACCGGTCGATTAATTATTAGGATTTATTTTTAGTGTTAATTTTTTAGTACTTCACTTATTATATACTAGTTATAAGTAATTACAGCAATAAAGGCTTTTATTATTATTATTATATACAGGCCCAGCTCAGTTGAGATTTGATTATTAGACCTTTAAATACTCCTAGTACAGCTGTATTATTTATCCATACTTTCAATTTTAACAAAAAACATCTTCTAACTAAATGGTGTTTGTCGCCCTCACTTTCACCAAGTTCCAAATTTAAAAATATTTCGTTACATTCTTCGTAATAAATACCTTATGTCCAAATGTTTGAACGAACTGTGAAATCACGACAGAAATAGCGTAAGATTCGTCTTTTATAACATAACACCGTTCTACTTTTACACGAGGCATTTTGGATGACAAATATAGATATTAGTTTTGATTTTAACTTTATAATATGATAATACTATACTAAAGGGATTTTAATTTGAACGCGCCAATCTCCAGATTTGAATGAAAAAATTCATAACTTTTTGAAGTTATACTTCTTTAGGCGCGTTATGAAAAATTGATAAGAGTGAAATTTTACGATGCACGCGCACCGTGACACAAAATTAACAGAATGAAGTTGCCCACGGAAGATGCTACGGCATTGGACATAATTTAAAAACAACATTCGAATAATAATATAATTTATGTTACACTTAATGTAGGAGAATAATAATAAATATTTATTTATTTAATTTTTCAAATGTAAACTGAACTTTATTGACTATAATAACTCCTTTTCCAGTCTTTGATTATTTAATTGTAATTAATTATTTGCATGCAATCAAAAACTATTTTTAATAATGCCAAAGAAGTATAACTTCTTACGCGCGTACATCAGTACACGCACCCTTTTTTTATAGTCTAGTATCCGCCTAATGATGTTTGGGATATACTAGTTATTTATAGTATTAATACAACATTTTACCGAGGTTACCACGTTCAATCAACGAGAATATAACTTGGTAAATTTTTACCGATGTTTTATGCTAATTGGAAACAAAAATTAAAATTTGTAATTTTTCAAATATACTCGTGACAATTTGTAATAGAAAACAATATAACTAAGCTACCTTTTTATTATCCAATAAAAATCCGTACAATAAATTTAATTGAATAAGTGAAAGGGAGCAGTTTGTCGCCTATTCTCGGTACAAAGGTGACATGCTTGGTTTCACACAATCCCACAAAAAATCTTACAAACTATCTTTTTTTATTTTACTTTTAACTCCTAGGCATTCCTAGATCTGTGTCGTAATATTTTTTACTAATATATAAGTAGGTGATCCGCCTTCTGTGCCTCACACACACTAACTTTAAGCTCTCGCGATCTCACGATGCTTTCCTTCACAGTACGAGTAAGTGATGGCACACATAAAAGAAGTCCGTTGGTCCCAGCCGTCATTTGAACCGGCTTGAGGGTCGCTCAAGTCTTAGTGCTCTGTAAAGTAACTATACGAAAATATGGAATCTAATTTCTATCGGGCTATAGAAAATGTCGACAGTAGTCTTCAAGTGTTTTACTTTTACGTATATAATATGAGAAAATGTTTCCCAGTAGCAGGAAGTGGAACGGCCGCTCGGTGATTGGTTTGTGATGGGAAGTAAATTGCTTCGATGCAGTCTACGTTCATATTGCAACATCGGAAATATGCGATGTTCCTCATATTCAGTAAAAAAACTCTGTATTGTTAAATTTATAAAATAAATATAATCAGAAAGCTTTTCGCGGGAGATTCGCGTCAAAATTGTATAGCAATTGTACATCAAAATCATACATTAACACATTCTGTTACTTTGATTATGTTAGATTGTTATTAAACTACATGATATTGGATGTTATTCGATCAAATAAAGATTATATTTGAATCTAAGTCAGTCCATTTACCTGCTATGCTAAGTGTGTGCAAATAGGTAGGACGCGCGATCATATAAACAAAAATAAATTGTTCTACAGATTTTTCTAAAATTTAATACTGTATAATTTGTTATAGTAGTAATTTAACGATTTGGTTTATTAAGTTACGTTATATACACTCCAATCAAAAACAAAACAACGTGCATTTTTTAACCATTTAATAGTTATAATATTATTCCCGTTTGAATGATGCAAACTATGAATCAACTAAACAAAATCCATATTTATTGAGCGGAAGGGCATGGTATTAAAGTTCAAAAATCAGGTTACGCAAAACAATGAAGTAATGCCCAATTTGCTTAAGGTTATCTTTATGGGATAGGTTAGGCCATAATGACTCATAGCAAATGGCACGATCCTAATAAAGCTAAACAACGCTATCAATCTACAAACAGACGATAAACGATAACACGAAATGTACTACAAAATGTATGAAACTTCATTAAAGCATTGTTACCTAAAACCAAGTTTTTACAAGTACTTAAATAGTGTAGTATTTCTGGAGCATTTTAAAGTAATTAAATAAATAAATATTACACATATATACGCACAGTCGAGAAAGGATCGATGCCTTTGAGATGTGATGCTGGCGGCGAATTCTCAGAATGCCGTGGACTGCAAAGCGCACCACAACATCGATCCTGACCCAACTCCGCATACGGACTCGCCTGGACATATGCATACAGCGAATTGTATCTTATTTCGGCCATACAATGCGAAGAGGCGATGAGAACTTGGAGAAACTGATCGTGGTTTGTAACACAGACACACACCGTTCACCAACCAGATGGACCGATCAAGTAAAAGACTTGACGACTCAAGATTGCTGACTTGCCTTGCTGACCACGACACTCAGACATGAGCTGCCGATTAAAGAGCGTAAGAGTAAGAGTCGAGCGTAAGTGATTTCTGTTTGTCAAAACGTATTGGATAATACGGAAATCATGTCTCGACTATAAAATTATAGGTTAGAATATTCGTTAAAGACATCAATACCTTAGTATCTCTGTAATTAATGTTAGACAAATAAATAATACATTTTTCATAACAAAATAAACGTATTCTTGTAAAAGTAATCATTGATAAGAATTCACCGTTTGTCGCGGCATAACAGTACAAAATTCTTTCATTATAACCATAATAAGTGATAAGCTGAAACCGTTTTTCTCGTGTATATTGCAGTTAGAATGTATTGTTTAAGCCCCATTGCCTACTCCATTGTCGAGATAAAGGTGTATCCAGACATAACGATTGTTTCAAAGGGTCCCAACGAATGTTTTAACCACAAAGAACAGCGGATTTTGTCTTTAGTGCGAATTTCCTTTTTCCGCGTTTAAAAATGGAATCGTTATTAAACTGAGAGCTTCAGATTCAAAAATGATGCTAATCTAAGTGTAAAAATAATTGTATCGTGGCTTGCGTCTCTTAACCATGAGGTCGTGTGTTGGAATCCTGGTTGATCAGCCTAGTTAGCGGTGTAAACACTATATCTGTGATACGTTAGGACTTAAAACGTTTTTAATTGTGAAGTACATTAAAAATAACAGTGGCTCTACAACCTTTTTAGGTCTGGGCCCCAGATATTTGTATCTGTTTCGTAATCGTTTGTCAATCTAATAGGCAAGTAGGCGATCAGCCTCCTGTGCCTGACACACGCCGTCGACTTTTTGGGTCTAAAGCAAGTAAGGTTTCATCACGTTTTCCTTCACCGTTCGAGCGAATGTTAAATGCGCACATAGACCGAAATTATTTATCTATTTATCTTGGTGCACAGCCGGGGTTCGTACCTACGACCTCAGGGACGCGAGTCGCACATTGAAGCCACTAGGCCAACACTGCTCTGTGAAATACATTAAGTAAGACTTAATTTAGACTCGAAAATAAAACATCGCTGGGAATGAAAACAACATTTCCAACGCAAATGAATACGGCTAGGAATAAACAAGGAGTCATTGACATAATTTCGACGTGAAAAATTTCTAGCAAGTTAACATTAAAGGGTAAGGGGCACTAGTCGGCGCTTCGTAGCGTAACTGCGTTTATCGAGCCGGTAAATGAGCATTGCAATCTTTAATCAGTTTCAGGTTTTTTCACCTTTTTTGTTTGAATTACGAAGACGCTCAATTAGTCAGGCATTCTTCATAATGTTCTTACGAAAAATCAAAACAGCATACATTATACGCACATTGGTAACAATTGTTGACCTTTCTCGCAAAAATATAATACAATTTGTTGTGAGAAAGTGATAGTCTATCCAATATAATTTTTTCTTTACTTTACTCTGATTGTGAAGTTACCGTTAGGAATTTCTGTATAACATATAACGGTTTTTTGTTTGTAATTTAATAAATTGCAAGTAATTCAACTTTTTTAACATAACAAGAATTTATTACATTAGCTAAGTCAGTAGAGCAATTTGTTGGCCTTAGTGACTCTCTGATGTTGGTTCGATCCCTGTGCACCAGTGGACTTCTTTCTATGTTATCATTCGCTCGAGCGGCGAAGGAAAACATCGTGAGAAAACCAGCATGTCTTAAAAAGTCTAAAAGACCGGCAACGCACTCGCGACCCCTCTGGCATTCAGAGTGTTCAATGGCGGTGGTATCACTTAACATCAGATGAGCCTCCTGCACGTTTGTCCCCTGTTCTATAAAAAAAAAGTCGACGGCGTGTGTCAGGTACAGGTTGATGACCTACTTGCCTATTAGATTGACAAATGATCATGAATCTGAGACCCAGACCTAATAAGGTGCTTTCTTTTCTCATACGGCATTTGATTTTAAAACTATATATTACAAAATGAAATCCAAATCAAGGTGCAATCTCCAGTGCTTTAAACAAATCCCATTGTTTACAAAATGCGTTAATAAGCGGCTCTTACACCCATTGTTATCTTTAGACATGGAAGAAATATTCATTCTATTTCGCGAATGAGATCCTCCCACTCGCGATAGGATCAAGTAATTGTAGCTTCAAACGCGTAAGATTTTGCGGCATTTATATTATGCTACTCACTGCCTTGAATAATGTACCTTTCAATTTCTGGAAGACATTCTTTATTTAAACCTAGGAAGGTATTCATTCTGCTTATAACATGCTTTTGTTAGGACGTCAGCGTGAACATTACAAACTTTTTGAAAAGCATTTTACTTTTTTTTATATGGAAGTAATATTCTTTTTTTGAATTGTATGATTATTTAGTTGTTACTACACTCAATTGTCAGCGACTGGAGGCATTGTATTTCGCTAACTTTTAAAGCCTCATCTATAGTCAAGATTTGGATAAATATTTGTAGTTTATGGTGAGGGTAAAGTGAAAATCGTTCTAATGTTTTTTTATAACTTCTACTTAAAAATGGTGTAAGAATGGCCTTCAGAGTACTTGTTTTTGATCCATCAAAAAGATTCATTTTAAGAAATCAAGTAGTATAAAATTTCGATCTTG